GTGTCCCAGACCTGGAAGGGGGTGTCTGGGAGGGAAAGAACCCAGAAAAAGAAGGGGAAGAAAAACTCCGGTGCCTTTGCTGATCTGTCTGTCTTTACCTTTCAGGAGACTGATTATATCATGTCCTATTTTGACAATGGAGAGGACTTTGGAGTGGACAGTGATGACAATATGGACGAAGCTATCTACTGAGAACCTGGGCCCGTGTGTCTTTCTTGGTTTCAGATAGAGGGTCTAAAATTATTTAGGGTTTTCCCTGTTTTTGCTATTATTGTTTTTGAGACAGGATCTCGCGTAGCTCAGGCTGGTCTGCAACTCAGTATGTAGCTGAGATTGGCCTTTAACTCTTGGTCCTTCTACCCCCCTCCCCCCAAGTCTTGAGAGTACCAGGGCACACCACCACAGCAGACTTCCTATTATTTCCTTTTGAGGGGGGAGTCACTCAGTCAGAACCCAGGTGAGCTGTGTGCTCCCTGGGGGTTGTCATCAACTGCTGTTGATGAACAGCAGCGCCAAGGAGCTGGCTTCCCTCCTCCTCACGTCTTTGTGTGGGCCGTTAGAGGGACAGCTGTGTGCATCCGCCACTCCATCTTTATAAGCCTTATGGACAAACTTAGGGTGGAAGCATTCAAGAGAAGTCAGGCCTGTTTTGTATTTTTAAATAAAATGTTTGTATCTGTCTCTTTACCCAGAGTGATGTCTACTGGGAAAGGGCCGGAGGGAATGCTGAAGGGATGTGTCCAGTCAAGCCACCCTCACACACCCCTACTTTCCACCCCACCCCAAGTTCTGAGGATTGAATTTACAGCCTTACAAATGTTAAGCAAGTGTTCTATTTACTAAGCTGTATCCCCATCTTTTTTATATATTTTTTTCTTAAATTTTGAGACAGTGTTTTGATAAGTTGCCTAAGTTGGCCTTGAACTAACTCTGTAACCCAAACAGCCTCCCGAGCTGCTGGGATCCCAGACTTGTGCCACCGGTGCCAACCCTCTGCTTGTCCAGTGTGACACTAGGACCTCTTACCCCTAAAGTAGGGCACAATCAGGAATTCATCCGCCATGCTGCCTGAAAGCGTTGTTGGGGGAAGGCACAGGGTCTCCCACAGACCAGCCTTTGGCCTCCCCACAGGGATGTGACCTGTATAATTCAGGCGTGATCACAAGGACACAGCCCTCTCTTTCTCACACCTGACCTTGATGTGTCCTTATTTACAAATGATTGCAGCTATTTTTGTGCTCAGTCAAGAAAGGCCAGAGAGGAGTGACGCTGTTCTCAGCTACGGAGTTCTCTTCCAGGACCTGGAGAGCCCACTTTGAAAGGCATATTTAGGGAACCCTAAATATCCTGTTCTCACTCCCAGAGCCAGTGTGTGGCTTGCAATTTCTCTTTTGGTTCTCTCCTTTGTGGAATTTAGTTAGCCTTTCTCACTCTACTTTGGGGAGGGGTAGGCGGTGTTGTCCTCCAGGGAGTAAGGAGGGTGGGGAGGAAGGGATTTAGGGACACTCAGGGCTCTGAGAGACGTCTCCTCGCCCACACAGCGCTCCCTTGGGTGAGGTCACTTCCCTAGGCTCTGATTGGCTTCCGAGGAAACCTTCCTCGAGCTGATTGGTTGCATGCACTTGCCATGCCATGGCCACGAGTAAGTTGCGTGTCCAGTATAGAAACTGAGCAGGACCTGCGTAGATATGTGGGGTGCTACCACGGGGGACTCTACTGAGCATTTAAAAGTCATAAGATGGAATGGGGAAGAAGTGTCGATGATGTCTCTATTGTGCTTAGGCAGGCCGACTGAACTTCCTACTGCAGCGTGAGCTACAGACCCGAAACCCAAAGTCGAGCATTTCTGACCCCATTGTACATGGAGAAGGGAGAAGGGTGCTTAGACTCCATGGCGGGAAAGCACCTTTAAAAATCTCGTTTAAGTGTGGTAGTAAGTGTTAAGATAGAAGCCCGGCCAAGAAAACGGAGAAGGGAACAGGAATAGAAACGAACATTCCAGAGTTATTGAGCAATTTGTGATGATTGATGTTTCCTTTTCTAGCTCTCCGCGTGAAGGGTGGAGCCAGGGGACTTGTCGCTGGGGTTTCCCACAGTTACCCAGCTGGTGACTGTAGCTAGGGAGGGAACAGCCGAAAACAAGAGAAAGATCCTGGCAGGTTTTCTTTTGTCTTGACTCAGTACGTTCCTTCCTCCCCCAGTGCCCCCCCCTCCACACGCAGGAGGGGAGACGCTATCCTGACCTGTCACTTGAACGCAGAGCTATGTTGGGAGGCACTACCACCTGCTAGCCCGCCGGATGCTCCTCTGGAAACTCCCTTTTTATTATATTTTGTTTATTTGAGGCCGGGGGGGGCGGGGTGGTACAGAGGACAGAGGACAACCTGCAGGAATCTGTTACTCTCCGTTTGTCGCATGGGTCTGGGGCTCAAATTCAAGTTGCCAAGCTTAGAGGCAGACACCCTTGAACCCTCTCACGGTCCCTGGAAACTTCTTAAAGTAATGGGAGCAAAGATCCCGAAGGAGAGGTGGGAGAGAAGGACAGGAAATGTGTCCCCACCTAGCTCTCCCCACGTCCCTTTTCCCAGGATACAGGAGAAAGGAGGACAAAGGTTGGAATGACCACTTGGGATCCGTTGTACTGCCTCAAAGACAAAGTGTCATAAAGATCAGGCCATTCTTGGACTCTGCCCTGCCTGGACACCTGCCTTTCCTGGCAGATGACCTTGTTGGACAAAGCCGATGACACGAGACCCAGCATCTTCCCCAGATTCTGTAGCGGTTCCAGGCATGAGTTAAACTATTTCCACTGACCTTTCCCCAACTTCCCATAAGCACTACCTAGCAGACAGGCAGTGGCTGGAGTCTAGGTCCAGGAGCCGGGGTCAAAGCTGGTCTCCTGGAGAGGTACCTTAACAGTTGAGGGCCTGCTCACAAACATTTACATCAGGCCCAGACAGTGCTTGCCACCCATGTACATAATAAATAATAAGACAGTTTTTATTGACTAAACTGTTCTGTGCCCACTGCCTCGGCTACAGAGTAGCTTCTACAACAGGAAACCTACGCTCCCTGACGCTCCCAGGCCTCCCCTACTCGGGCAGATATGAAATGTGAGTCTGCGAATAGGTGTAGGGACTCCAGTATTTGAGGAAAGCCCAAACGGAGATCTGGATGCAACACGCAGTTTAGATTGATTGTGGCGACTCAAGAAAACTGGAAAATCGGAAGGTAGATCGATAGAGTGATTAGGCACCTACAGTTTGGTAAGGGAAAGATAGCTGGTTTCTGCAACTCTTTTTTATGGTTGTTTGAACTTTGAAAGTAAAGAAGGGTGTAGGCTGGTCAAGAATGAAGCAGGGTGTGGGGAGCTGGGAGTATAGCTCTGTAGGTAGAACATTTGCCGAGCATGCTCAAAGTCCTCGTCTCTATCCCCAACACCATATAAACCGAGCACAGTGGCATATGCCTACAACCCTTGACTACATGGGAAATTTGAAGCCAAGCTGGGGTATAGGACACACTGTCTCAAAAGACTTAGGAAAAAACAAGGCCGGATAGTGGTGGTGCATGCCTTTAATCCCAGCACTTGGAAGACAGAGGTAGGCGGATCTCTGTGAGTTGAGGCCAGCCTGGTCTACAGAGCGAGTTTCAGGACAGGGTCCAAAGCTACACAGAGAACTCCTGTCTGGAAAGACAAAAACAAAACAAAACAAAACAAAAACAAAAACAAACAAGCAAAAAAGCTAAGTCAAGGGTAATGATTGTCCTCTCAGACAGGCGAAGCATCTTTGTCATCTCAGATAGGAGAAACATCATCGTCATCTCAGATAGGAGAAGCATCATCTCTTTGCTTTAGTCTCCTTACTCCATAGTCTTGTGCCCTTCACAAAGTCAAGACGTGCCTCAGTTTCTTTTTGTCTGACACATTAATTTGGACTAGACGTCTCCAGAGAACCCAACCACTCAGTAGAGTAGCCGTGGATCCTCTTGCAAAGGTACGAATGGAGCCGAGTCTCATGCTATTGGTTACATCCGACAAGGTCACCTGCCAAGAAAAGCAAGACTCCAGGTAGGGCGGAGTTCAAATATGACCTGATTTTTATGGCATTTTGTCTTTGAGGCAGTAGCAGTACAACCAATCCCAAATGGTCACTCCAATCTTTGTCCTCCAAATACCAGGGCGTGTGCCTATTTTGCCAAGCTCATTCAATCCCCTTGATCTCCCCGCCTTATTTTCAGCCAGGCAGGCTAAAGATACACCAGGCACATCGCCAGTTGTCTCCAAGAACCTTTCTAGCCAGAGTAGCCGAGCATCAGCAATTCCAAAAAATCAGAAGACCCCTGCAGAGAGGTCACAGTCACAACCTGCAAGTCAGGACGCAGAGCAAGGACAACATAGAGATTTCAGACCAAAGAAGGGGCCGCTGATATCGGTCTTTCCTATCTGTCCTCAAATATGCCTGGCCAGAAGACCGAGGAGATAAATGAACTTGACAGGAATAGTTCAGTTAGGTAATCTGGCCAGGCTAATCTGGCCAGGCTAGCGATGACCTTTTCTCCACTGACTCTTCCCCTACAGAGACCCATGTTTCCCCCAAGGAAATCACGAATGTGGGAATTTGAAATCCCCATGCAGAATTCTAGTTTCTAGTATTATCCCTGAGAACGCTTTGCCTAATTCAGTGGGATTTAATGTGTCTCTTCTGCCAGCCAGCTCACTCAGAGGGAGTTAGTAGGCACATACTGATCTAACCCTACATACAAGCCCAGCAAGGTTAAGGCTTCCATGATTACAGGGTCTATGACTACTCTCTGTTCCCAAACCTTCTTTAATCCCAGGATCATCAGCTACTGGTTGTGCTCCCTACAGCTCAGACTCCTTCCCCTCCCCGAGTAGCCACAATCCTATGCATCTGCTTTCCTGGGTTTATAGCAGAGAAGTGAAAAAAAAAAAATAGCCAACTGCTACCTGACCAGTACCCTGCTGCTTGCCCAGTGCTTGAACCCCAGCCCTCTGCCTCCATCTTCCTCATGCTGAGATCACAGGCACACACCACTACTTCTGGCTTGTTTTTGTTTTCTTTGACATAGAGAGGCCTGGGGTTCCTTGTGTAGTACAGGCTCATCTCAGACATGGACATGGAATAGTTCTTCTGTCCCAGCTTTCAACGTGCTGGGATTGCCAGGTGTAGTGATTCACGCCTTTAATCCCAGTACTTGAAAGGCAGAGGCAGGCAGATCTCTGTGAGTTCAAGGCCAACCTGATCTACAGAGTGAATTCCAGGACAGCCAGAGCTACACAGTGAGATCCAGTGTTGGGGAAAAAAAAAAAAAACAGACAAAATGGGCATGGTGGCTCATGCCCTTAATCTCAGCACCTGGGAGGCAAAGGTAAGCAGATCTCCATGAGTTCGAGTCCAGTCTGGTCTACGATCTACAAAGTGAGTTTCAGGACAGCCTGGGTGACTACACTGAGACACCCTGTCTTGAAAAAAAAAAAAAGAAAAAGAAAAAGAAAAAGAAAGAAAGAAAGATCCAAACAACAGCAAAAGTGTTGGGCTTAGAGCTTTAGGTTTGTGGCATCACTCTTGGTGTGTTTCTATCTTGGTGTGGTGAGGGGTGAGGTTTTATTTGCATACATATTCATATATGTGCAGATGCATGTGCTCATGCATGTCTATATATGAAGGGTAGCAGTCACCTAAAGTGCCATGATTTCTCACACATGACCTACCTGTATTTTGGGACAGGGTTTCTCACTGGCTTTGAGTTTCTGAAGAAGGGCTAAGATGGCTGGACACTGACCTCAGTCACCCACCGTGTCCATGTGCCCAGCCCTGGGATTGCAGGAAATGGACACCACACTTAGGTCCTCGGACCTGCATGTCAAGCACTTTCCTGACTAAGCCACCTCCCTAGCCTTCTTGGTAATTTTTTTTTTTTCTGAGACAGGATCTCCAGTTGGTCTCAAATTTGATAGCCTGGCTCTTGGGTGCTGGGGTAGGGTTACAAGCAAGTGGCACCACAGCCAGCAAGTGAAACCTCTCTAACAAGGGCCAGGGGGGGTGCTGCAGCCAGCAAATGAAACCTCTCTAACAAAGGCCAGGGGGTTGCGAGGTAAAGGTAGGGCAAAGGACAACCAGGAGTTCAAGATCATCTTTGACTTTATAGTGAGTCTGAGGTCAGCCTGGGTTACAACAGACCCTGTCTCAAAAAAACAAAAACAGCAAAACAAAACAAAAAAACAAAAAACAAAAACAAAAACAGAAAAGAAAAGAACCCAGAAAGAAAGATACCCTGCCTAAATTGGAGGTCTTTCTTTCTTCTCATGGTGATGACTCCTGCAGTCCCCTTTGGATGGGGGTTGGGGGAGCCTTGATGTTTGTTTTCCTTTTCTCTGCTATGGCCAGGGAAGCAACCGTTTTTTTTTTTTTTTTGAGAGGAAGTTTTTTCCTTGAGTGTACGCTTTCGCCAGGCGGGGTGGTAAAAGGAAGTAAGCAAAGATGGGCACTGTGTGGGAGAGAGCGCCAGTCCCTCTCCGAGAAGAGAAGTAATGCTTCACAAAGCCTATTTTCTTCCCCCAGGCCTCTCTCCTGGCACCCAGATGCCTTTTCCTGTCTGACCATACTTGGATCTGGTTGCTGTCAGCCCCTCACCTCTCCCTTACTTGGCCTGGATCCTGTTTGAGTCTTGTTTTCCAGTCCAAACCACCACCCTCACACCTGTCGAGGGGTGTCAGCAATGTCTCCAGAGCTCTCAGGAGATGGATGGAGTCTGGCCCGGAGAGGTGGCTGTGTACAAGGAGATCTTTTCACTTAGACTTATCCTTGTAGTCCTTGGGGTACTTCAAATAATTTTTCTCTTGTTTTATCTGTGTATTTATTTTTGTGACAGATAATGTCTTATGCAACCCAGGTTGACCTGAAATTTGCTATACAGCTGAGAATAGCCTTGAACTCCTGACCCTCCCATCTTAGCCTCCCTAGTACTGAGATTTCCCCTTCTTAGATTTTGGGGTGTGTGTGTGCGCATGTGTGTGTGCTGCATGGAAGTGCAAGCGCATGTGCACTTTTGCTACAGTGCACATGGAGCTCAAGGCACAACTTTAGGGACTCAGCTCTCTCCTTCCATCTTTACATGGGTTGGGGGCTTGAACTCAGTAGCAAGTGCCATTACTTCTGAGCCATTTTTCCTGCCCCCTTTCTCTCTCTCTCTCTCTCTCTCTCTCTCTCTCTCTCTCTCTCTCTCT